ATGACTTGAAGGAACTGGATGAGATGTTACGGGTAGAGGCTGACAGTGGTGAGGAGGAAATTGAAAGTGATGACCATATGTCAGCTAAACAGTTGAAAGATGTGATTTACCACTGGGAGAAGTTCAGGGAACTGGCTTCAAAGCACCCAGAAGTGGAAAAAACTGAACTAACTTTGTGTCATGTTGAGGACTCAGTGGTCTCCTTCTTTAAACATAAGTTAATGGTGAGGAGGACAGATGCCCCACAGACCACAATTGACACTTTCTTCAGTAAAAGGCAGAGGGAACAAGATGCTAGCCCTCAGCCTTCCACTTCAAGAAGGAGAGAGGATGTTCATGGTGGAGAATCTGTCAGTCCAGAGGTTCCTGACATTTTCATGGAAGGTGACTCACCTTCCAAGAAGCAGTAAAATGCTTCTCCTCCACCTCCACTTCCTTCTCTTCTCCCTTCTCCTCCTGCACCTCCCACTTCAAATGCACATCATCACCATCATCCAGGAGCCTTCTACATACACACCTCAAAGTAAGTAAATTTTTCCGCCATTTTTGTTGAAGTTAGGAAATTTTCGGTGAGCTGGAACCAATTACCCAAAAACCCATTGAAACAATGGTTTCGGTTAACGAACGTTTCGGTTAACGAACGACCTTTTGGAACGGATTGAGTTCGTTAACCGAGGGGCCACTGTACTTTTTTTTACAGTAAATAAAGACTGTCAGTGTATGTTGAAAGAATCATAGAATGTAATTGTAAACTAATGTATACAGTAAAACCTCGATTAACCGACTTTCGGATTAACCGCCTATCCCGGACCACTAATTTTTTTTTTTTTTACGGGGATTAGCCCACCCAGGCACAGGTCACTGACCCACATCGGGGCCTAGGGGGGCAATAATGTAGTAATAATAATAATAATAATGATAAATAATAATAATAATGATAAATAATAATAATAATAATAATAATAATAATAATAATAATAATAATAATAATAATAATAATAATAAAGAAATGCAAAAATGAAAAAAAAATCAAGAGTGAGAAACAATATATGTATGTTGTGTTTCAATAGTAAGAGAAATAATTGAGACCCTGCAATTGTGTGTAAATGAGGCACAAAGTCAGATCAGCAACCTGGGCCTTGGTTACAATTTTCGTGATGCCATATGTTCTTTGACTTTTCCATTTTTTATTCACGGTTTCTGTGCTGGTTCATATTTATATACTAAAGTGGTTAATGTTTTAAAGCAAATTCTATTGAAATATGAATGGCAAATGAACAAAAATGAATAGAGGGACTTAAATGAGGTAGGTTAGGGAAAGGTACTTTGAAAAGGTATGTTTTATTTCCGTAGACTTAATGTACTATTAACCGACCTTTTCGATTATCCTTCGGCCCCTTCCCCCCATATGTGGTCGGTTAATTGAGGTTTTATTGTACATAGAAAATCTAAAATGGATGTCTCTTTTTCTTCTCAGCACCACAACTCTCACTTTTAAGCTTGCCAGCCATTTTAAAGTGAATTACAAACGAAAATTTTGTCAGTACACAGCGCAATCACTGACGTTGGGACTCGAAAATACGCAATTTGACAAAATTTTGGTACGACTGAGGCGGTCGTATGTCCGGGTGGTCGTTTGAGTGTGTGAGTGTTTGAATGTTTATGTGCATAGGCGTGTGAGGTAGGTTTTAAACGTAGACATCACGGAACCTCATCACCTTCGTAGCCGTCAGTGGTGTTGCAGACCCAGCCATCTCCATGATCTTGCCGGCGCTTTTAAGTATAGAATGCACCGTAGAGGGAACCAAGCCGTGCACGCGCCCAATCACTGACGTTCCTTCTCAGTGTTCATGTCTTTTTACGATATCCAATTTCATGTCCTGCGTAACTCCCACACGTGATCTCTTAGCAACATTGCTTGGAGTTTTAGTAGCAGGTCGCTTAGGCATTGCGAGATCACACAAAACACAACTGCGAGATCACACAAAACATACGCCAGCATGTGAGACCAAGGCGAGCGGGAGTGTATGGTGGAGGAATACGTAAACACGCTGTCCTATGCTACTGTTGAGGCGTGCGGTTCAAAATTTTTGCTCGTAAGAATTTGCGAATAAACGGAGCAACCATTGCGAATAGTGGAAATGGGTAGCAATAAATTGATTGCGGATAAACGGGGTTAAGAATATCGAGGCCATGAATAATGGGGTTTGCCTGTACTTTCTGTTTAATATGGCAGAGGACCCCCTCAACTAGGAAGTTAGTTAAGGTTAGGTAGGTTTCTTTGGTTGGTTAGGTGTAGGTTCTATGAGGTTCAAGCATCGGTTGCCTCTTTTAAAATACTTAATATAAAGATAAAATCATCTATAGAAAAAAAAATTTAATTATAGATGAGAAACCCACTGCCAATTTTTCATTGAAAATTATTTTTAAAATACTTCAATATCACTGTGTTTTATAGTGAACAATGTTGTAGTTGGAAAAAATGTATTAAAAAGAAGTCATTTTTAAATTAAACCTAACCTTAGTTGATAAGAATAACAAGCAGCAGAAACTTTGTTAGAAGATTGCACCAACCTAACCATAAAAAAACCTACCTAACCTTACCTAAATTCTTAGCCATGAGGCTATCCCCCACCAGTATATTAAACAGAAAGAACTTTTATGCTTTGGTGTAATTTTATGCTTTTTGCAGACATGAGAGCAGCCACCCAGACTGAGCAACTCATTAACGTACACTGAGCATAGGCGTCAATTGGTGCGCCAGCAGAGCGTAGCGGACTGGTTTGAAATACTATATCAATATGATTGGCATCACCGCCGAGACAGACAAAGTAGTGTGCACTTAGGTGCCTTATCATCAGAACTCACTGATGAAAATATAGTAAGAAAAGAAACAACAAAACAAATAACATGTTGGCGGGTATCTTATCAATACCTGCATTAACCAAATTATGTCCTCAACTATAAATCGACCCTTATAAGACCTACTAGGGTTAAGATTCATTTTATGTCAAACATGAAACTTCATATTTCTATTTATACAGCGAAGAAGCGCAAAAGAAAAAATAAAATAAAAAGTGGGCAGGGCCAATTTGAAGTAGAGAGAAAATTTGGGGTATAAAACAGTATCAAAGAGAACACCAAACAATATACATTCAGGAGCCAGTGCATGCCCAATACTAGCCAACAGTGCGTAACAGAGACACGACAGATCACTCAAGTGGCTAACGAGCCAATCAGTGGTGAAGAGGATAAAAGTAAAAAAAAAAAAAAAAGGGTTAAGATTCTTTTTATGCACTCGCCAGTATCTCCTAGGATATGCTATCTATTTACTATCCTACCTTATATACGTCCTCAATTAACCTCCAATCCTCCTGGAAAATTATTAGTTTTATGAAAATTGCATAAAAAACAATTACAAAAGAATTGATCTGCCAGGTGTCGCATGCCATTTCTTGGCTGAGTGAGCTCCGTTTCCCTCGCAGAGAGCCTCTCCCGCCTTCTTCTTCAAAGCGATCGACGCGCCATCATGCGACAACAAATGGAAACAACATTCGTGACAGCCAATTGTTTCATATTGTTTATTCACGTGATTCTTTGTTCCACTCCCATTAGATGCTTTCAAATCGTGCACGAGATTAAAAAAAACAAAAGGAGGCAGCCAGCCAGTTGCAACACTGCCTGTGAGCAGTGCAGTCTCGTTCCTGACTACTGTGAAAAAATTATTTCAGGACGAGGAAGCAACTTTGGAGGCATTTCAAAGGCACGGCATCATACCTGAAAGAGTTATCCGCCCTTCGTGTGGCGAGGAGTGCAATTTTAAGCCTGCGAGATGCTCTTTTTATTGTTCAACTACAGCCACTCCTCGACTTACGACCACCCGGACATACGACAGCCCCAGTTGTACCCAAAAAAATTTCAAATTACATTTTTTCGAGTCCCGACGTTAGTGATTGAGCCGTGTACTGACAAAATTTTTGTTTATCATTCACTTTAAAATGGCTGGCAAGCTTAAAAGTGAGAGTTTTATGGTGCTGAGAAGAAAAGGAGACACCCATTTTAGAATAATCTGAACTATGTGGAAAAGGTGTTTTTAAATAAAAAATTGAGTTGAGACCACTGCTGCAATAATACCCCAACTTTATTGTTGTTTAAGCTACTCGAAAAATATAAATTTCCGACGTAAACGCTACAGGTGTCCTAAAATTCGCTATATGACCGAAACAATGATCATACCACTTTTTTTTATTTACTTATTCAATTATTTATTTAATTTGCTAAAAAAAATACTGGGGAAGCTCACTGTGCTCGCTATGTTCCCCCGGTGGACGGAAATAATGTCCACAGGAAAAAGGTCACATGAATTGTACATTGCACGTAGGTTAGGTTAGGTTTTTCTGTGCCTTTTTTCCTGGACTCGTTCCCCCACCCACAACTTCTTGGCACCCCTTTTGATATTCCTGGATCCGCCCCTGTATAAATAGAAATACAAAGTACTATGTTCGACCTAAAACAAATCTTAACCGTCTTAACCAAGCTTAGTTGCTTGGTTTACCTTACTCTCACATTGATCTGAGAACTTCAGTTCATTGTTAATATACACACCCAGGTCTAAGGAGTAGGTCCTTTTCACATTTTGTCTTGGTTAATGATACTGTATTTCTTCGACACGTTGGAACATGTAATATGCCTTCGACGGTGTACCCCCAACTCGGCCCATCTTAAATAACCAACTAGGCCTATCCTATATAAACAGCTGGGACCATCTTATATAACCAACTGGGTCCACATAATACTAACTCGGCCCACCTTGCACACTTCAAACAAGTAGCTGACTAGAGGTTTGGGCCGAGTTGGACTGTACAGTATTCGCCTTCGACTACTACTGGAGCTGACAGAAGACCTGGCACCTGTAAATAATTCGAGGTGGTTCTCTTTGACTAAGTATTTAAGTACATTTTCTCATTTCTACATATTTAAATTGCGTTGTTGTTACGTACCCGTTATTAAAGGCAGTTGCTAGGCGTCTCAACGAAGTTATTGCGTTGCAGTGTTGTTTCAGTGTGCCAGCAGGGTTGCCAACTCGGATTTTCAAATGTCGCTAGGCTGGTACCTAAAAGTAGCTAAATGTCGCTAAATCTTCCATGGAAAGTCGCTAGCTATTATTCCCCCCCTTCAGTAATTTGATGCAAATAATATTTTCATAATGCCGTCTATAAATAAAATGCATTATGTAAAAATAAAAATATTATTTTTTTTAAAGTTTAATGTGCACACTTACCTATTATTCAATAGTAATTGCATCCCAGTCCTCTTTGTAGTCGTTGGCAGTGTGAACAACTGTAGAGCTGGAAGCATGTGAAGTGCTTGGTTCAGGTTCTCGTGCAGATATCTTGTAACTGTATGCCTCCACAGTCCCTATCTTTCTTAAAATATCACGAGGAAGCACTAGCGTAGCTAGGGGGGGCGGGGGGGTGGGGCGGTCCGCCCCGGGCGGCACTTTTGGGTCTGCTCATCACCCATATCTGCAGCTACTGGAGACGTTAATCCATCCCTTTGTATCGGCGGCAAGTTAATCCTTGTCGTGTCTGACCTAACACCTGACCCACATCATCACGGCCACGTCATGAGCTACGTACACCCTTGCTATGCGCCCCCCCCAGCCACACACACAACCTGTAACCTATTGAGGATTAAGGAAACAACTTCAAACAAGTCCGCCAGTGAGCTCATGTGGTGTGGGTCAGGTGTTAGGTCAGACACGACGAGGATTAACTTGCCGCCGATACAAAGGGAAGAATTAACGTCTCCAGTAGCTGCAAAACCATGCAGTCTCGGGTCATATCAGTTCATGTACAGCCGACCAATCCACCAGTTACAAGCAATTCACTTCAGTTCTCCACAAGTCTCCATCGTGACAAGACGAGGGGAGGCTAGACGACTTTTAAGTTCTCTTGTGTTTTCGATCCAGTTATTTACTTCGTTGGAAGACATAATACTATAAGGTAAGAAATATTAAAGTATTGGTTAAAAATATTGATGTGACTTTTGCTGCGGTACTGAGATTAAATATTAAGATTTTGTTTCACAGCATTGCGATTTTATACTAAGACACTATCCTCACTGGGGTACAGACAAAGCCCCCGACAAAGCCACCCAGACCACTACGTAGCTGAGGGGAGGGTCTGCCCGCGGGCGGTCTGCCCTGGCGGCACTTTTGGGGGCGGCACTTTGGGTCTGCCTATCACCCATATCTGCAGCTACCTGGAGACGTTAATCCTTCCCTTTGTATCGGCGGCAAGTTAATCCTGTCGTGTCTGACCTAACACCTGACCTGTCATCACGGCAACGTCATGAGGCCACATTCCTGCTATAGTGCCCCCCCACACACACACAACCTGTAACCTGTTGAGGATTAAGGAAACAACTTCAAACAAGTACGCCAGTGAGCTCCATGTGGTGTGGGTCAGGTGTTAGGGTCAGACACGACGAGGATTAATCCTGCCGCCGATACAAAGGGAAGACTGAATGTCTCCAGTAGCTGGAAACCATGCAGTCTCGGGTCATATCAGTTCATGTACAGCCGACCAATCCACCAGTTACAAGCAATTCACTCTAGTTCTGCATGTCTCATCGTGACATATCGAGGAAGCTAGACGACTTTTAAGTTCTCTTGTGTTTCGATCCAGTTATTTACTTGTTGAAGACATAATACTATAAGGTAAGAAATATTAAAAAAGTATTGGTTAAAAATATTGATGTGACTCCTTGCTGCGGTACTGAGATTAAATATTAAGATTTTGTTTCACAGCATTGCGATTTTATACTAAGACACTATCCTCACTGGGTACAGACAAAAGCCCCCCGACAAAAAGCACTCCAGACAAAAAGCCCCTACTTGATCGGGGGTGGCTTTTTGTCTGACAACAGTAAGGCAAACTATTTAATATATATATATATATATATATATATATATATATATATATATATATATATATATATATATATATATATATATATATATATATAAAGAGGAAATGTAATATGTATTTTTGTAGGGTCATTAAGTGGCAACTCTACATATTCCCTGGGCGGCACACTCTAGCTACGCCACTGACCCATTAAAGTCTCTAGACGAAAGTTACCTAGACAAAAGCCCCACTTGATCGGGGTATTTTTTGTCTGACAACAGTAAGGGCTTTCAAAAGTTACGGACATAATTAAATAGTTGAGGGTAAAATATACTGTTCTTCTCTGTGGTTAATTATTGGTTAGGTTAGGGTTAGGTTAAGTTAGGTTAGGTTGGGTTAGGTTAGGGTTAGGGTTGTCAGACAAAAGCCACCCCGATCAAAGTAGGGGGCTTTTGTCTGGGTGGCTTTCGTCTGGGGGGCTTATGTCAGACATCCATTTTCACTGTACTCTGAGTCTGTAATTTTAGATTAAGTTGCTACTTTTTACATTTCCATTGTATTACATTGATACTAGTGTCATTATACCGTGATTTTAGATCAAGCTGTTTGCTACTTCCTATCTGTGTCCTACTATTCAGAACGAGTTTATAGAAATTTTGGGAGAAAACGTAAGAAGCAAAGTCATCAAGCAAGTAAAAGAAGCAAAGTACTTTTCCATGATATTCAACAGCACTCCTGATATTTCACATAAGGATCAAACGAGCCAAGTTTTACGCTATGTTATGATCGATGGAGATAAAGTGAAGGTTGTGGAATCATTTGTCGATTTCATTGAAACAAAAGGTAAAACCGCCGAGAATATTTCAATGATGATTTTGGAAAAATTAGAGAAAGACGGAATTGATATTCAAAATTGTAGAGGGCAAGCATATGATAATGCTGCGGTGATGGCTGGTGTTCAGAAACGTATCAAGGAAATTAATAAAAAAGCAGAATTTGTCGCTTGTACAAATCACTCGCTGAATTTGGCGGGTGTTCATGCAGCTTCTGTTGCTGTGAATTCTGTTACCTTTTTTGGATGTGTGGAACGTTTGTTTGTATTTTTTCTTCATCAACCCATCGCTGGGATGTTCTAACTTCAGTCACTGGTGAAAGTGTCAAGCGCATAATAGAAACTCGGTGGAGTGCGAGGGGAGAAGCTGTAAGTGTTGTAAAGAAACATTTCTCAAAAATCTTAAGTGCCCTAGAAAAGTTAACTGGTGAAGAAGAAAATACAGCTACCAGGGCAGATGCTGGTGTTCTACTTGGTGCGTTGCAATCATTTTCCTTTTTGTGCTTTCTTGGCCTGTGGGGACCTGTCCTTCTAGAAATTAACGACACACAGACTTACCTCCAAACCAAGGGCTTGAACATACAACAATGTGATATAAAACTCAGGGCATTAGAAAAATTTCTAGTTGAAAACAGGGACAAGCTAGTGAGTAATGGAGTTAACTATGCCAAAGAAATTTGCAATGATCTGGGGATAGTCATGGAGCGTCAGCGTCGACCCAAAAAGAAGAAACAAATGTTTGGTGAAGGATCACGAGATGCTGAATTGCCATACGACATTGAATTGAGGAGAGAAATGTTTTCTTCGCTGGACAGAGTGATCCAAGAAATAACTTTGAGATTTCAACAGCTTCATGAACTTGCTGAGAAATATGCCTTCCTTACCCCATTGAATCTTTTGGATGATAAATATGAGTGTCAAATAGATCACGATCACGACGACATTGATAAAGAGGAGTTCCTCGTTGAGAGAAAAAGATTTCAGCATTTTGTTGCTGCTATAACTATTAAAGACAGAATACAGACGTGGAAAGAAGGCCCCCTTGAACTTTTGCAGTTTATTCAAAAGTATAACCTTGGGAACTAGGTTCCAAATATAGTAATAATGCTGAGGATTTTCCTCACAATTGCTGTTAGTGTTGCTACCTGTGAGAGGAGTTTTTCGAAACTAAAACTGATCAAGAATTACTTAAGATCTACTATGAGCACCTTGCGGTTGAGAAATCTTGCCATACTGTCTATAGAGCGACAATTGACAGATGAAATAGTTTTTGACAATGTCATTGAAGAATTTGCCATCAAAAAAAACAAGAAAAGTTACTTAGTAGAAAGTTGTAGTTTTCATTTCAGAAATAAAGATGTTCCTAATTTTTTACACTTTTTTACTTTTTTCCCTATCGTTTTTGCTTTTTGTTTAACTGTTACTTATAAAGTTTAAGTATGTTTGGGGTGTATTTAAAGCATACTATATTTGAGTATGTGAAGGTACAGTAATATTATAATGGTACACAAATTATTTAATATATATATATATATATATATATATATATATATATATATATATATATATATATATATATATATATATATATATATATATATATATATATAAGAGTGAGTCACTGTGCAATATGTATTTTTTGTGGGGGCACTGGGGGAGGGGCGGCAAACTCAAGGGCCGCCCCGGGCGGCACACACTCTAGCTACGCCACTGCTAGGAAGTTCATAACTTGCACAACAGGTGTTCTGTCTTTTTAACCCATACTTTATTGTAAGAATTGCCTTTAATGTCGATAGTTTCATTTTGTTGTGCAATTTTGATTTCACAAAGTTCATATTACTAAATGTGCGCTCTACATCTGCGTTTGAATGCAGAAGAGATAAGGCAGCGAGTGCAATTTCAGCCAGATCATGGTAAGGGTTTTCACCTGTCGCATCTCTGTAATTTGCCACTTCTGACCACAATTTTAGGGTGTTAGATGTTTCTGTCCAGATTGTGTGCTAAAAGGTGCTACAAAAGGCGAAGGTAATAGCAGTGGCGTAAATAGAGGTGTGCTGCCCGGGCGGCTCCTTTTTTTGAGTTTGCCGCCGCCGCCCCCCTCGTGCCCCCACAAAAAATACATATTGCACAGTGACTCACTCGTCTTGTCACGATGGAGACTTGTGCAGAACTGAAGTGAATTGCTTGTAACTGGTGGATTGGTCGGCTGTACATGAACTAATATGACCCGAGACTGCATGGTTTTGCAGCTACTGGAGACGTTAATCCTTCCCTTTGTATCGGCGGCAAGTTAATCCTCGTCGTGTCTGACCTAACACCTGACCCACACCTTATGAGCTCACTGGCGTACTTGTTTGAAGTTGTTTCCTTAATCCTCAACAGGTTACAGGTTGTGTGTGTGGCGGGGGGGGGCGCGCATAGCAAGGGTGTAGCTCATGACGTGGCCGTGACGATGTGGGTCAGGTGTTAGGTCAGACACGACAAGGATTAACTTGCCGCCGATACAAAGGGATGGATTAACGTCTCCAGTAGCTGCAGATATGGGTGATGAGCAGACCCAAAAGTGCCGCCCGGGGCGGATCGCTCCCCCCGCCCCCCCAGCGCTAGGTGGGTAATAGACAAATAAATGACGACACGGCAACATTAGCCATGGACGGGCTGACATCAAGTGATCAGGAAATAGACGTGTCCCTCCTTCTGTACCAAGACCCATTCAAATGTATTAAACTTTTCTTATTATTTATTGTCCCTGTAACCCCGTTGCTATATATTATGGCTCGAAATTAGGAAAACTGAGTTTTCATGGACAGTCCAAAAGTATCCAGAAAGTCGCTAGATTTCTGTGGATATCTCTAGATTTGCGACAAGTCGCAAATCGCTCTAAAATGTCGCTAGAAAAAAACAAAAAGCTCTAGATCTAGCTACAAAGTCGCTAAGTTGGCAACTCTGTGCGTCTCACTCGTCAAATTTCCCTTATGATTGATGAACCCCCCAAAATTCCCTTTTGGTCACAAAACTTCCCTATTTGCCTATTATATTGTAGTGGACGTCTCCCCTACAACTGCCTACAACTGCGTAGCAGCCCACCACCTGCTATCACATTCCAATGTGCCGCCTTCCCTAGCAACCAACCAGATGTTACCGTATCTTAGCAACGAAACTATTCACCGGCTACTTCTCGGGTTTTCCCACCATGACTCATGGCGGCTGCTGCTGGGTATATAAGCTCTGTCTCTCCCTTGAGATTCAGTCTGACCAATCTTCTTGAACAAGCAACACCTCCTCCTCTGCCGCTGCCTGGCGACCCTCGCCTCTCCTCCGCCTGCCTGGCGGTCCTCGCTCCCGCCAGCGAGCATGTCCTTCTCTGAGCTTCCTCACCAACCAACTCTCATTCTGCCCATTTTCCTGAACAAGCAACATCTCCTCCAGCAAGCTCCACGCTGTTAACATTTCATTCAACCAGGAGGCCAGCAACAGGCAACATCTTCTCTAACGAAGCTCCTGCACATCTACCTCCTTCAACACGATACTCCCGAACGTCTTCTACTGAGCTGCTCCCCACCACACGGCATCTCCACCACCAGACTGTCTATCATATAACTTATATATATTATATAAGAAAACCACATTAGAGTTTCCTTCCATCCTGAGTGCTAGACAACATTAATATCTCGATACCCCTACAAATGGTGACTCCCGGAGATAAGCACTCACACAGGATGGAGGAGACACTGATCACGCTCCCAGTCTTCAAGCAGGCACCGGCTCCTCTTCCTGCCTCACGCACCACATTCTGACGACCCCAGCACACCCGTCCTGCCTCAGACGCCGACCCCGGCCCAGCAGTACCTGCCGTGAGGGAAGCACACAACATCCATCGCCTCCACACCCCCTCTTTTCTCCCTCAGATACTCCCTGCTAATGTCCTGCACCCTGCTGCTTTCGTGGACCCAGCTGCTGTCACGAGCCCTACTCAGCTTCTGCTGACGCAGCCCCTGCTCCTGACCCAGGCCCACACACACCCAAGCAGGCGCATCTGACGACCCTGTACCTGTCGTGAGGGAAGCACAACATTCATCGCCTCCACACACCCTTTTTCTCCCTTCTCCCACAGATAGTGTGTATCTAGACAGTTGTTTTTCAGCGACCGGCTCATCACGCCATCGCCGTTGTCTCACATGAGGCATGCACCGCTCGGTCTGCCTCACATGTGCTAAGCAACTCTACAGACAACAAGTCTCCTACACCGCCTGGAGGGGAGGGGGAGTATTGTAGTGGACGTCTCCCCTACAAACTGGGTATTGCATTCCAATGTGCCGCCTTCCCTAGCAACCAACCAGATGTTACCGTATCTTAGCAACGGAACTAGTCACCGGCGACTTCTCGGGTTTTCCCAACATGATTCATAGCGGCTGCTGCTGGGTATATAAGCTCTGTCTCTCCATTGAGATTCATTCAGACCATTCTTCTACAACAAGCAACACCTCCTCCTCCGCCGCTGCCTGGCGACCTCGCTTCCTCCGCCTGCCTGGCGGTCCTCAAGCCCCAGCGAAAGCATATGTCCTTCTCTGAGCTTCCTCTACCAACCAACTCTCATTCTGACCATCTTCTTGAACAAGCAACATCTCCTCCAGCAAGCTCCACGCTGTTAACATTTCATTCAACCAGGAGGCCAGCAACAGGCAACATCTTTTAACGAAGCTCCTGCACATCTACTCCTTCAACACGATACTCCCTGAACGTCTTCTACTTTCGAGCTGCTCCCCACCACACGGCAATTCCAGCACCAGACTGTCTATCATATAACTTTATATATATTATATAAGAAAACCACATTAGAGTTTCCTTCCATCCTGAGTGCTAGGGACAATATTAATATCTCGATACTTCTACATTATATATATATATATATATATATATATATATATATATATATATATATATATATATATATATATATATATATATATATATATATATATATATATATATATATATATATATATATATATATATATATATAATATATATATATATATATATATATATATATATATATATATATATATATATATATATATGTATGTATATATGCAAGTAAATCACTGTAGGTGCTTGTGATCCAGGTATATGCTGTTAACCACAAGGAAACAAGAAGCCCGTATCATCATTGGGTATGACTTTTCTTGGGAGATTGGTATCCCCGCATCCCTTGAGCAACGCTCTTGTGCATTATGCGGAAGACTCGACAGCAGCACCCTTATCCACTACCGCCTAATATGTCCCCACACACAACGCTACCGTGACGCCTGCTGGACCACCACTCCACGGCCCCCTGACGATGATCCTCCCCATACTGGCCAGATATTATGTAAATAACATTGATTATGTGTTAAAGGAATATCCTTCCTTCCTTAGGCTTTAGTAAGCCCCTTTATAATATTTATCCTGTATATACTTGTGACACTTCCCAGATGCTTCTGGTGTTATTGCACAGGGGTACCAAGTGACAGCACTAGGATCCCGCTTCCTCTATCAAGGAATAAACAATTGAAATTGAAATTGAATTGGAAACAAGAAAACACGAAGTTCCCAGGGGCGAGTACAGATGTGAATTACACGAAAGCGCTTGGGAACTTCGTGTTTTCTTGTTTCCTTGTGGTTATCAGCATATACCTTCACTGCCATGCAGGACAGAGGTTCGTACACAAAGAAATGCATCATATTCATTAGCAGTATATATGGGTCATAGTCATGTGGGTGAAGCCACTGTTCGCTGCCATGCAAGACAGTAGTTCATATACATTGGACGTCATATTCTAATTGACAGACTCGGGCAAGGGTTTCCCTCAGCTGAATAAAATCGCCAGAATAAAATAACTAAGTGGGTCGCTACCCTTTAAAGGGTTAATGAAATGTAGTATAGGCCTACGTGTCAAAAAAAAAATATGAATTGTGGATTACAAAGGAGTGTTTACAACCGAGGCAAACGGTGTCTCCTCTGTCGCCATCTTTAGGCCGGTGGGTCAACTACACCTGAGGCTGCCCTACACACTTTTCTCTCAATTTTAATCATAAATAGTAAGTTATGTCCACTGGCTCATGTTCTTGTTATCGGGTACAGTTAGTTGTTGTTATGTATTGTGGGTGTGTGTGTTTTATAGGGACCTAGAGTTAAAATTTGGTATATATAAAATTAAGAAATTTATTCATTATTTAAGTTGCGTCATATGTAATCCTTTCTTTATAATTCGTTGGTAAAACTCAGAACAGCTCTACTACATTGCTAATAGATGATAACAAACCTACTATATAAGATTTTCATATAGGAATCCTAGTACTGTATATTACCTGTGACGAAATGGACAAAACATTGAACAAACTGTTCACTTCTTTCTTGTAAACCAGGGAGGCATTACCCGTCTTCATATTTACATTGACAAATCAAAATAAATCATCTCTGAACTTTGGTTTTAGTAGGAATACACCAATTTGACATTACTCATTCCTATCAAAATCATAGTTTAGTAACAGTTGGTTTTTCATGTGTTGGAGGATGAAAAGGAAGTGGTTAATTTAGTTTGTGGCATAAAATTAGTACAGGTATATGCAGTAGTTCATTTTACTAGCCAAAAAATAGGTTAGTGTATTTCGTAATGTTTAGACAATTCCAAGAAATTTTTCTTCAATGATATTTCCGCCGGAAATTATGGATAACCAAGATATTAATTGGTAAATTTGCACTGTCCCACCACACTGTTAGAAAGTCAAAAATATATTTTTCTAGTGTATTTGTGTGTGTTTAGACTGAATATGACCTTCATTTCTGGTGGAAATTAGCCGTTTTTTATTTTTATCAATTTTTTTTCGTTGGACGTTTTCCGAAAAAAAAAATGGTTAAGCAAATATAAAATACACCAAGAAACACTAGAAAAACAAAAACCAAACTAAACCAAACCAAACTCTCACCATATGATGGTATCACCTGTTAATGTTAGAAATAAGGCAAACAGAGTATTGGGTTTTATATCTAGAAGTGTAAGTAACAAGAGTGCAGAGGTCTTATTGCAACTATATCTTGCGCTAGTCAGGCCGCACCTCGATTATGCGGTTCAGTTCTGGTGCCCCTATTATAGAATGGATATAAATTCACTAGAGTCGGTGCAGCGAAGAATGACAAAAATGGTTCCGGGACTTAGAAACCTTCCATATCAGGATAGGTTAAAGAAACTTAACTTGCATTCCCTAGAAAGACGAAGAGTGCGGGGAGATACGATAGAAGTATTTAAGTGGGTGAAAGGAATCAATAAAGGGGATATAGATAAAGTTCTTATAATACCCGAGCAGGATAGGACTCGGAGCAACGGATTCATGTTGGATGAGTTTAGGTTTAGGAGGGAGATAGGAAGAAACTGGTTCACAAATAGGGTGGTGGACGAGTGGAACAAGCTTAGTAACTTTGTAGTAAATGCGGGAACTCTGGAAAGTTTCAAAAGGAGGCTAGATAGATTCATGGATGATAGAGAGTGGTAGTAACTCTCGACAGGAGCTGCCGTGCACAGGCCAACCGGCCTATTGCAGACTCCTTATTTTCTTATGTTTTTATGTTCTTACTCTATTGGCCTGGTTTTTGTTCGTTGTTGGATTTTGAGATTCTTACACAACGCCACATATGTTGGTCTTTGCGATATTTACATTCAGTCCTGCACTTATGACACTTTACTGAGGTTGGAAGAACACCATGCAATCAAAAAAATGCTACAGTTTCTTCGTTGTTTTTTTTTTTTTTTTCCCAAAAAACTCACAATCAGCTCCATGTAATTTAAGTGACACCCATCACGGACTTCCACGGTTGGAAATTAATATGAATTTGGAAATATGAGAGACCCAAAATAAAAATCGATTTTGATTGGGCCAAAAATACCGCAAATTAAACCACAAATCATTTTAATTGGTTGCAAAAAAAAAACGCTTTTGATTGGTCGCGTGTACGGGAACACGTGCGCATGACGATTTATGAAGGAGACATGCAGTGTGAGAGGCGAGGTAGGCAATAATGGTGCAAGATTAATGGAAGAATATAGAGAAAATTTTGGATACGCTTTCTCCGTTATTATAAATTTCTGCCGGTAATGTAATAGATGAAAATTATCTTATACAGTGACCCCTCGTTTAACGAACGCCTCGGTTAACGAAATTTCGGTTAACGAACTGCCTTCCATAAGGATCTTCAATTCGGCTAACAAACAAAAATTCGGTTAACGAATTTCTTACGAACCGACCTCAACTTGTTTTCGCTTGCACTGACCGGGCAACCAGCTTTAGTATCAGTCCGCCAATACATTAATCTGTTCTAGGGCTTAAATTCCTTACTATTTTAGTAAATATCAAGAAGTTTATACTATTCAATAATTTTAAAAGTTTAATATTCAATTTTTTAGTCATTTTAACAATTATTGAACATAATTGAAGGTAAAGTGACTAGTTTAATGCGCGGCATCCAGCCTCTTAACACAGCAAACAGGCATTAGTCTCTCTCTGTTTTCACTGGAGGTAACATCTTGCTTGAGACTCTCTTCAACTAAACGCTTTTTTTCTGTGTTTCCAAGCAAATTATTGGTCATTTTGAAATATATTTTACATATTGACAATATATAATGCAGTGCAGTGTTGATTTAAAGAAAATAATCTTGAAATACACCAAGAGAACTAAAATTTTATGGGTGAAATGGTGCCATGGGGTGACTTCTCTTCCACCCCAATGACTTCTCTTCTTCCTTCTCCTCCACCCCCATTCTAATTCCCATCATCATCATCATCCAGGAGCCTTCTACATACACACCTCAAAGTAAGTGAACTTTTCTACCATTTTTTTTGAATTTAGGAAATTTTCGGTGAGCTGGAACCAATTACCAAAAAACCCATTGAAACAATGGTTTCGGTTAACGAACTTTTCGGTTAACGAACGACCTTCTGGAACGGATTGAGTTCGTTAAACGAGGGGTCACTGTAATTAGACGTCTTATTCGAATATGATAATACATTAGTGGTAGGAATGTGTGGTGTGTAAACGCAAAAATACCGTATACAGTATACTCGTTTATAGGTCAACCCTGATTTTTTGACCAAGAAATCATTAATTTATGATATGACTAAAAACACTACGTCCTATAAATTGAGGGTCGCCGTGCCTGAAACATCGAGTGCCGAAGGCAAATTGTTTACCATTATTACGACACTTTACACTGAAACGCGGGTAGTTTCAGCAAAAATATTGTATATTTCCATTCAAGTATTTCTTTAAGTCATTTAGGAGGGATTATTATTGTCATACAACAGTTTTTTAACTGAAAACCATTCGAAAAGCGATTACGGTGACATCTTTTGAACAACGAAAGAAAGCGAAAGTCGATTGTTTTCGTCATGGTTTTATCCCACTTTCCACTGAAATACGTACGTCATTTCAGCAAAAATATTACATTTCCGTGAATGTATTATATGAAGCACAGTATGAATAGAATATCATTGTAATACAGTGGTCCGTAGGTTAACGAGCACAATTCGTTCTAGAAGGTTGCTCGTTAACCGAAACCATTGTTTCAATGGGTTTTTGGGTAATTGGTTCCAGCTCACCGAGTATTGCCTAAAGTCAACAAAAAAGGTAGTAAAGTACACTTACTTAGGGGTCTGTATGTAGAAGGGTCCTGGATGATGATGATGGGAATTTAAATGGGGGTGGAGGAGAAGGAAGAAGAGAAGGCATTGGGGTGGAAGAGAAGTCACCCCATGGCACCATTTTACCCATAAAATTTTAGTTCACTTGGTGTAATTCAAGATTATTTTCTTTAAATCAACACTGCACTGCATTATATATTGTCAATATGTAAAATAAATTTCAAAATGACCAGTAATTTGAGTGGAAACACAGAAAAAAAGCATTTATGTTGAAGAGAGTCTGAAGCAAGCTTTTACCTCCACTGAAAAGACAGAGAGACTGACGCCTGTATGGTATGTTGACAGGCTGTTTGGCGTGCTAAAAACTAGTTTCCCTGTACTTAAATTATGTTAAATAATTGTTAAAATGACTAAAAAAAATTTAAAATAAAACTTTTAAAATTATTGAATAGTACAAACTTCTTGATATTTACTAAAATAGTAAGGAATTTAAGCCCTAGAACCGATTACTGCATTGGCGGACTACTACTACAGCTGGTGGGCAGCCAAATGCAGGCAAAAACATGTTGGGAAAAATTCGTAAGGAATTCGTTAATCGAGGGAATGCTCATTAACCGAAGTTAAGATTCTTATGGAAGGTAATTCGTTAACCGAGGCGCTCGTTAAACGAGGGATGACTGTATAACATTATTTTAACCGAAAACTATTAAAAAACGAGTGACATCTCTTGAACATCGGAAGGTTAGGTAAAGTCTTTTGTTTTCGTCTTGTATTTTATCCTATTTTACATTGAAATACATCACGTTTCAGCAAAACTACTATTTATTTCCAAGAATATATTCATTCAGGCGCAGTTTAGGTAAAATATACTTGTGATGCAACAGTTTTTTAACTGAAAACGATTCGAAAAACACGTACCCACTAGCCCTGTTCAAGGAGAGGACTGGGAGGAACTGTTTGGTGCTGAAGACAATGACAAGGAAAATGATTTTGATGGATTTTAATGAAAATATTCAGAAATATGGTATCGTAGTATTTATTCAAGTCAATTAGGATAGAATATTATTGTAATACAACAGTTTTTAAATGAAAACCATTCGAAAAGCGATTACGGTAACATCTTTTGAACAATGAAAGAAAGCGAAAGTCGATTGTTTTTGTCTTGATTTTATCCCACTTTCCACTGTGCAGTAATACGTACAGAAAAAATATTACATTTCCATGAATGCATTATATCAAGCACAGTATGAATAGAATATCATTGTAATATAACAGTATTTTAACCGAAAACTATTAAAAAACGAGTAACATCTCTTGAACATCGGAAGGTTAGGTAAAGTCTTTTGTTTTCGCCAGGTATTTTATCCTATTTTACATTGAAATACATCACGTTTCAGCAAAACTAC